TTTGTCATGTTTCTATAGATCTCTGGGGTTACAGTCTCAGTACTAACACTTGAACGCAACTGTTTTGTGCTTGGGAAAGGAATTGTAAGATAAGATCATCTCTGCAACCAGGAAAATAAGGAGTTAATGACTTCACAGATCACCGTTCTGTCTTATTATTTGGTACTCAGGCTCATAACTGCGATTCCTATCTCAGACAGTCTTATATGTTCTGTACCGTTAAATCCTATAAGTTTTCTCCCTTCAGATACTATGCGATAGAGGCATCCCTGAGACTGGAGCCTTTTAGAAGCTCCTGTTAGAGGGCAGCTGCCACAGCCTCACTTCTAACACATCTCAGCTATTTTCATCTTTTCCTTTGGGTAACTCTGGGAAGAGAGCACACTTGAATCTTGAGAGCCCACAGCATTTGTCATACCTGCATTTCATTTCATTCCTAGTACTTTCTCGAGACATTTGCTTTCAGAGACGTTTTCCTCCTATTTGTAGTTTTGATGGATTTTCAGCTTTTCCCATCCATTACTGAAAATGGGAATTAACCTTGAGTTTGAAGATTCATCGTCTGGTCATTACAATATCCGCAGCTTAGAGAACAGTCCTGTGTGAGCGGGTGAACACGGCTGCTTGCTTCCCAATTCATGGCAGTGTTTTTCTGTACCTGTTGCCACGGGCTGCCAAAATAGGTTGACTGATGTGTGCCCATTATGCCTCTTCCTTCCACTTTAAGGACCGAATTGAGGGTAACTTTCATGAGATTTGGGGGTTCTTAGTGCCATCTGTCTTGTCAGTCTTTCCTTGGATGTCAGCTGTGCTACGGCCATGAGTAGATAGTGACCACACAGTGCCCTTTGAGATCTGTCCACAGAGCAAGCCACAGCACTGTACAAAAATACATCCTCTAACTTTTCTCTTTAACCCCCTGCTCAAAGTCTGCTATTTCTTCCTGCTCACGCCCTGGCCACCAATGCCCTCCATGTCAGAAGATCAGAGAGGATGAAAGAAACTTCTGCTGTCAGTATTCAAAATTTCCAAAACTCTAGAGAAACAGCCATTACCACTTGGGTGGAACACCAGGGATTTCAAGAAATCCTGCATGTGTGAGCCCCAGCTAGGTGTCAGTGTCTGAAAGTGGGAGTTATTTCCCACGGTGGGAAGAGAAGATGTCCCATGTCGGTGCAATGGGAGCCTCCCCCAAGCCATTGCTGGATCTGCTGCAGCTGAAGAGACACAGACTGGGCAGAGCTGCGGCAGGCGGCTGCCCACTGCTGTCAGCAGTGATTAAAAAAATTAAAAAGCCGAAAACTTATGGCAGCGCTTAGTAAGTCCCAGGTTATTTGCTCGGTGTATTAAGAGACCTGTGTGTCAGATTTTATATCGGTGCATGCACCAGAAGCATATTTAATGTGCTGCACGCAAAGTGGTGATATTCTGTGTTTAATAAATGTGTGTGTGTGTGTGAGAGTATTGATGTATGGCACTCGGTGGTGTGAGGAGCAGCCTTTTTCTGCAAATGAGGCCACCTGTTCCTCCTTCCCCGATTTGACAGGTTTTAGTCTCTTCACTGCAAGTGGGTGGACAGTTGGATTTGATTTACTCGATACTCTCCTCTAGTGTGATTGCAGCATAATTATATCAATAATCAGCTCCGTTTGTGGTCAAAATGTTCTCCGGCATACACACACTGGCACACACACACATATCCCAGATCGTAACACGTTTAGAAAATGTGTCCCACTTTTTGTTCAGAATGGTTAGGTTATGTGATAAATACAGATTGATTTTTAAGAGCTCGTAGCTGTTACTCAATCGACCAAGTGTGTGTGGTACACGATAAAATTTACAGTTACGCTTTGTAGGTATTTCATCAGGTAAGACTGGTCCTTGTTAGAGAAGTGTAAAAAATTGGATAATTGATTTTTTTTTTTTCTTATTTAGATTTGCAGGTTCGCCTAAAAATTGGAAGGAGACTAAAGCCATGGAGGGGCTGGCGGGGGGATGAGGCCATGCTACACAGGCAAAGAATATACATTTTTCCACCAAAAAGAGTGATCAAAATCCATTTTGGAGAACATACAGTTTTTCACTCCTCTGAAAACAAAAATTGTTCTATTTGTGTAGGCTTTGGCTAGTTTTGTTATTTTTGAGCTTCAAAAAATTATAAAAGTAGATATAATTAGAAACACCACTTCATTTTGAATAAGTATCATTGAAAAGGTTTTTTTTAAGATTTTTTTTTTTTTTTAAGGTAGGGTTGCATTTGGGTTTTATTAACCAGTTGCCACATTTGATGCACAGTCATGGATTATCAACTGACCAAGTTTTTGGGGGGAAAAATGGTTCCAAGCACTGAGTTTAGTTTTGAAACACACATGTGTTTGCCATCAAGGTCCATGCAATGTGTGGCTTTTAAAGTGTACTTAAAGACAGCACAAGTGCTGAACGCATTGGAAATTGGGAGGAATCTGGAATGGGTGTGTGCTGGATTAGTTATACCCTTGGCATAAGCAAAAAAAGCAGACACGAATGTGCGCTCGGATCTGAAGCTGAGCAGCTGGTGAGGCACGGGAGTGTCACCCTGCCATCAGTGGCACCATGAACTAGCATTTAGCTTTTTTCTGCACTTCTTTCCACACCACTTCAGATGTTCCAAAAAAGTAGGTTGTAGATAAAGGTGGGGATGAGTGATGGTTTCCATAGTAGCCTCTAGGATTTTTAATTTTTTTTGGACCAAAAAAAGCCGTTCTTGTTGAATGCTTGAATACCCAAAGCACGGCACTCCCACTCCCCACACTGGACCTGTTCTGGATAAACAGGTAATGTCAGGACTGTTGGTCAAGTCCCTTCCCACATGTTTGAAGTTAAATAGACCCTCTCCAACCTGCACATATACTGTAACTTCATCAGGACTGACAGTTTCTCAGTGATTATAATTCCCTTTCTATCCAGCTGCTACAAAAAGCTCATTACTGCAAAGTATCCCTTGCCTTGGCAATGTTTTAAGATGACCAAGCTGTGCCAAGCCAAGAGTGCAGATGCAAAAGGTTACTCCACTGCTTGGTATGATGAACGCCAGTCTGCAAGACCAAGACAGACCAGTGGTCATTTCATCTTTGACAGCACTAAAAAAAGGGAATCTCTCATCTTTAACTAATTGTTGTAGCAAAGGCTCCCTCTGCCTTCAGCTCTGCAGTTCTCTCTGCACGGAAACACCAGGCAGTAGGGGAGGGGGGTGTCTTTCTCACCAAGAAAATCTTCATGAGCCTCCTTGGCTCATTCCCACAGCCTGGCAGATCAGGGGCCCAGGCAAATTATGATTGCCTTGATTATTTTTTTTTTTTTTCCCCAGGCTGAAATGAATGGCCTGGCATAAAAGTGAGCAGAAGTAGTAAAAAGGAAAGATGGTGCTGGTTTTAGCAGCTGGCCAAAGCCAGGGTAGCAGAAGATACTCCAGAGAAATTTATGGCTTTGTCCCGTCCTGTATTGGGCAAGGGGTGGAAAAGCAGTCCTGGGCAAGTTCCTTGTGTTGTGCCTTGGGTTTAAAAGTATTTAGTACAGAAAATAAAATCCTAGTTAGCTCAAGTTTATACGGTCTTTCTACTCTCTTCTCCCAACCCTCATCCTTCCTGCTTCATGGGTGATATCCCAAAATATCTCCCTCAGTGAGGCGATGACATCAATGTTTGTGACACTTCTGAGGGTTGTGACATCACCACCCAAAACATTTCCGGTAAATGAGGCAGGACTAGGATGGTTTGCCAAAGTGGAAAATTTAATTTTATTGTTGACTACACTGAAACCTGGATGTTATAGAGTTTGAGTTTTGCTTTTGTGTACTTTCACTTGAAGGTAACTGTGTGTTGTGCATCACAGTCCCCCTGCAAACACCTCTGATGATAACAAATCTGACACCTGTAATTAATGTCCTTCCTGGTACCATCCTGTATGTGATCACACATTGGGTAGGACAGAGGAATAATTCATCAGAGCAGGGGGGGAAAGCAATTTCTTTATTTACAGGCTGGAGGGACAGGCTGGAAAGGAAACTTGGCAGGGAGGAATACCTGGTATCTTGCTTAGAAGTGATCTTAAAGATGACACATCATTAATAAAATAAAACCCCATTTCTTATCAATTTTCTGGCAGTCATATTCTTAAATAGGCCAAGCAAAAACTATATTTTTGTTTTGTGGACAGAAAGGTTAATAACCAATTCATTTGAACTCAAAAAAGCCACAAAAGAATTCTCCCCCTATTCACAAGGAAAATTTCTCAAGATCTTAAAAGCGTCTTTAAATAAAATAGATTGTGAAAGACAGCAGTTCAAATAAGCTCTTTTTTTTTTTTTTTTACATATAAAAAAGCTAGAATCTATCTGCAGAGACAGATTTCTCTGGCTTGAAGTCATGTTTTCAGTGGTGAGGGGACCAAAATTCATCAGAATCTAGTTATAAGTCAAGTCTTCAATTGGTGTTTTGTTATCCTAAAAATAATGGAAAACTCTAGCAAGGCTGGAGAGCATGCGTGTGTGTATTTATGTGGGTATTTAATAGGGGATGGTCTTTATCTTTAAACTTCCTATTTGAGTAGAGATTTAACTGGACCTTTGGCTTCTTCATGTTGTGAAAAAGGAGCATGTTAGCATTTTATTGGTGAAACGTGTGCATTCAAAGCAGAGCATGGCATTTAAAATCCCTTGGGAACCTTGTTTGATCATTTTCTCCCTGATAATGTTTGCGTTGCTCTTGTGTGCCTCTCTTGTTGTAGTTTCCTTATTTTGATTGTGGTTTTATCTGCTCACCAAACAAATTGTTTTATCTATTTATTTTTATGAACCTGTGCCAGAGATTTTATTTATTAAGATAATTGGGCCAGAGAAAGGAAGAGCAGGAGATTTCCCCTCCAGACAACTGAGCTTCAGTTAAACTTAAATGAAATTACAGAAAGGAACAGGATTCTTTCTGTTTCTTCTGTGTGAGCTGGAGGTGGGCACCAATTCTCACCCTCTCCAGCCTTGCTTCTGCATGTGTCACCCTTCCTGGTGCAACCCACTCGACGCACTGTGGGGACACCACTGGGAAGAGGTGAGCATCTGCAGTGGGTGGAGGTGGACACGGGGGATGGTTAAGCTGCAAGGGTGTACCAGATCCATAGTCCATGCTGTTTCATTTGATTGTAACAGCAATAAATGAATGTCTAAAAGGTTTTGCGTCTCTTCTCAGGAGGAAGGATAATTGTAGCCCATCCACCTCCACCTACAGAAATTCATCCATCATTGATGACTTCTATTGCATGTGATTGATTGCATCCAAGATTCATATTGCATAGACTTGGAGAGCTGCAGGTTTTTAAAATAAGAGCAGATTCTTCCAGCTTTTCCTACGTCGTCCCTCTTAGAATCACTGTTTCTGCATCTAAGACTTTCTGGCATTGATGTCCACGTGATGCAGTCCAGCCCTGAAACAAGAACTCAAGGCAAACCCTACTTCTAGCATGGCAACCTTCCCTCTCTCCTTGCTGGTAGCGATTGTGGCTGTTGTGATCCTCGCTAAGAAAAGTCTGTCTCACATGTGGTGCCACGTGAAGTGTAATATCTAAGCACAATAGGATCAGTTAAGAAAAGAGCTGCAGAACATAAATGTTTTCCTGTCACTTGTTTTAGAGTGTTATATTGTTACTGTTGTGTGTAAAGCAAATCGGAAGGGCAGACCGTGGGAAACTTTTTTTTCTTGATAGTATTCTTCCAGCTGTAACACAGCGAACAAATTGCCAAAAGCAGTATCCGTGCTCTGAGCTTAGTATTAAAGAGGAGGATATTTTTAGAAGTTTTACCCAGAAAGTGCAAACTTTAGCAGCAGAGTGCTGCACTAGTGAACTGACTGTGTACTTTGGAAAGCCCTTTCTGCTGTTAAGTGCAGATGAACGTGTCCTTGCTGAACCCCCGTGCTCAGCCAAAGCCTCTGCAGCCGGAGTCAGGCAGCAATGAGCAGCCCCGTTCTGCTTACAGGTCATGTATGGTCTTAAAGAAACTGTGGACTTTCCAAAGGAAACATATGGGAATGTTATCCTGTCTGGTGATCACACTAATTTTTCCATTTGTACTGTTTTCTGACGCAACGCTCATTCCAGCAGTCCCCAGCAGCAGTGCCAGGCACTAGCACAGGGCTACCCCAGGGACAGTGACACAGAAGGGGACATGCTGCTTCTCCCAGCACAGCCCAGATGCAGCAGCTTGAATTTTTCCCCAGGCACAGACAGCCCAATGGGGCGCAGCACCTCCACATGTGCTTAGCTCACGTTTTATTCAGGGGTCTGTATATAGATGGTATAAACCATCATTTTGGGGTCTGCACCTGGGATGCAGCTAGGGAAGGCTAGTTGGGATTTTGGGAAAGCAATAGAAAGAAGGACCTCGTAAAGCTACGAGTATGGTTCATGGGTTTCTGTAATGCCCATGCTGGAAAGTAGCTTGTGAGAAAAACAAAAAACTTCAAAGAGCGTGTGTCCGTACAGGATCCATTTCTTCCTGCTCTAGCAGCTGGTCTAATAGAAGGTGAAGCCTCTGCTTCCACCTTTGCCTCTCTAGAGAGAAACGTGGGTGTCAGCTCTGCTGAAACGCTGCGTCCCCACCTCTCTTTGGCAGTAGCTGCTCTGGTGCAATGTTGGCCTGTGCAGGCTGAACGTGGGTGAAAGCCAGGCCAGCGTTGAGCAGATGTTGGGTCCAAAAACTCTAAGAACTGCTGACTACTTCAAAATTTAAGTTTGTCCTCACAGCCATATTGACGGAGCCTGCACCAACCTAGCAATCTTCCCTAGCAAGAAATAGATTGTACAAAAAAAATATTTTCTTTGATAAATTAAACTGGATTTCCAAGTGATTTTGGCAAAAGATAGATCTGGATTTTTGTGCATTGCTGTTACGTCAATTAGAGGGTGTGATTTTTTTTTTCATTTTTTTTTCGTTCATGCTCCTATGTGTCAGAGCTGGGCTAGCAAAAATTCAAATATAGCCCAAGCTTAAGAACACAAGTTGTATTTTACCATTACTCCCCAGACTGGGAGCATGGCACGTACAAGAGCACTTCACTTCCACAAGTAGCAGATGAAATGAAACATCCATTTACTTTTCATGCACAGAAATGGTAATAGCGGCTAGAGAAAGGAGACGACAATTTATTTTGAATGCCAGTCATTGCAGCGTGGTTATAACAGAGTTAGGGCTGGTGCACAGCTGTGCTGCAGCCAGTGGGTTTGAGAGTGGCAATTTTGCCTCTCTGCTTGCCTAGGGTTCAGCTGTAGGTTTCTGAAATGCATTTGTATTAAAAAATGGTCTTGGGACAGGTCCTCAAGCCTGTAATACCTTCCCTCCAACCCATTAGTGTTCCATCTGGAGCTGTGGCTTACACAAGCTGTGCTCTCCCTTATGTGGACTGCAACAAGTTCAGTGTTAAATTATTAACGCTGACTGTCCTTCGGGCTTGTCTCCTTTGTTTTTACAGGTCCTGATTCAGCAAGATATTAGCATATATTTGAATTCAACCATGTAACTATTTCCACTGAAATAAAATAATAATAATAAAAAAATATAAAAAAAACCTACTTTAAGGCCTCAAAGTGAATCATATGTTTTATTGCCATAGCCGATCCCAAGGTGAATGTGGTGTCTGAGGCATATAGCAAAAGGCTTTAATGGAGCCATAAACTTAAGATTAACTGTTTAGCACTCTTAATTAGTCAGATCTCGAGTTTCTTGTTTACTCTTGAATCAGGCAAAGCTCTCCCTGAACTCTGCTGGTCACTTGTCAAAACTTCAGGATCTTGCTCATAAGGACCCTTCTTTTCTCCCCATCTCATCTGCCCGCTGTATCGCGCCATCTCGGCGTGCTCACCATCCACCCCAGCTTCACAATCCCTTCTCAGCTCACACCGCTGCCGGGAAGTTCATCAGCTCTAGCCCAGCCCTAGGGGGAATTGAGGGGAAAAAAGAGAGAGAAAAGGGAAAGCAGACAAGGCAGAGCCTATATATCAAGTCATCTTTGGGAGCCCTGAGGTATCTTGCCTCTGGTTTGTGATGTTTGCCTCCTTGACCTGAAGGCGCTTTGAGCAGGGATTCAGACTCCCTCCCTAGTCCATCCCGCTGGGCAACCTTGCAGGGAGGAGCAATACAAATTCCAGATGGCATCCTTCCTCTGAAGGGACCTCCAAGGCCTTTTGGGTTGTTGCTAAGCTAGCTGCAGCCTTAACCCCCACTTAGCAAAGGGGCTATTCCAGACAGGCCCCAGGAGAGGACTCGGAGCAATCCAGCTTTAAACGGCAATGCTGTTGGAGCAGCCACTCTGTGCATCGGTTCAAGTAATGTGCACTTTAAAAATGCATCAAATAGGTAAAAAAATAGACTGCTGTGACTTCATGCATTTGTTTGAGGAAGGTGAGAGGGAATTAAAAATCATTAAAAGGCAAAACCAAATTCAACTTATAAAGATATAAAACCAACCGAGGGGAAAAGGTGACTGAACACAGAGAGACTTAGTTCAAAAGTTGCAGGAATCTGAACAGCAGGCGAGGTCCCCAGGCTGCTGCAGAGACATGGATGACCTTGGCCATCTCTCTTTGCTTTTGCTGGGCTTGTGTTTTACCTGGACTGTCTTAGGTATTCAGGCTGCAACCTCTTCCCAGCTGGGATTGTTGCTGTGGGTTCACACGGTGCCAAGCAGGAAAGGTCCCAAGCGATTCTGCGCTTCTGAGCACTTGGTAGAAAATAACTAATAAGGTCTGGGCTTAATGCATGAAGATCAGGTATTACAGTTGATGTGAAAAGAGAATACAGCCTGCATAGAATATTTCTATCCAGAAATTCTATTTATTCATTTTTTACATCTGCAAGGAGCCCTAAGCCACAGCTGAAAAAGTCACTTCTGTGAAAAAATGAAATGGCTATTTTTACAGCGCACAGTTGTTTTGGACAAGATATGAAAAATATTATATCTGATTGAAAGCATAACAGCAGCAGAGGTGGGCAGGATGTAATTACTCAAATTGTAGTTTGGCCAGGACACCAAAAATATCCAGTATAAAATGCCACCAGGTTGTCAGTTCCTTTCAGTGTCCAGGACATGTATCCAACAGCTCCTCCAGAGATGGCACCTCCCCCAGCATGGCTAATTCTCCATCGAAGGACAAGTAAAATCAACCCAGTTGCTCAGCCAGTTTTGTGCAATACTTTGTTTTGCTTAACAGCCTCCTGTTCCAAAGCTGTCTAAACCCAAATGTATTAGTTTGCAAAAGCTGCCCAAAACAGTGTGGCTGCAGGGATCCGTGACATTCTTAAACTCATGTAACACATACGGGTTTTAAATCCTCACTTGTTCCACAGGGTGGAAATGTGCTCCTTGGATAGATTAGGCAGAAGAGTTGAGTGGTAGCAATGTGCATGCATTCATTTTAAGAAGTGCCTTACAGGTGGTGCCTTGGCTTTCCCCTCCCCATGGCCATGCTGGGACGGAGGAAGTCATCTCTTTGGGAATTTGTTAGGAGATTTTTGCTTTAGTCAGAGAACCAGTCCTGAAGCCATAGAATTGTTTAGGTTGGAAAAGATCATCAAGTCCAACCGTTCCCCTACCCCCGCCCTCCCACCACTAAACCATGTCCCTAAGCACCTCGTCTACCCGGCTTTTAAATACCTCCGGGGATGGGGACTCGACCCCTTCCCTGGGCAGCCCATTCCAATACTTGACAACTCTTTCATTGAAAAAATTTTTCCCAATGTCTAGCCTAAACCTGCCCTGGTGCAACTTCAGTCCATTTCCTCTCATCCTATTGCCCACTACCAGGGAGAAGAGGCCAACCCACACCTTGCTACAGCCTCCTTTCAGGTAGTTGTAGAGGGCGATAAGGTGTCTCCTCAGCCTCCTCTTCTTCAGACTAAACAACCCCAGGGACTGTAATCAGAGCAGGATGAGTGAAGGAAATCACCAAGAAAAAAAAAAAAAAAAGGAAGGTAGTAAATGTCAGGTTTTTACAGCCATTGCACATTCCTTTCATCATACAGAGCCTGCAGGGGTAACCTATGGCAGGTCCAAAGTCCTTCTCATCTATCCCTGGATCATAGGGCAGTTGCACCTCCTTTTCTCCCTTAGAGAATGGAAGGGCTTCTGCAATA